TGTGCTTTCTCGCTCCAGCCTGTTGAGTAGGGGGTGGTGGCCTTTGGAGATGCACAAACTTGGCTTCTATGCTTGATTCTGATGCTTTCTTAGTTTTCTTCAATTTTCTAAGCCTCGGTTTCCTTATCTATCAGATGAGCGTGAGTACTGAGTAAGGTAAGCTATGCGAAGTGCTAAGCATGGTGCCTAGCATATGTTAACACTCAGTAGATATCAGCTGCTGTAAAAATAATGATGATGATAGCAATGACACATTAGTATTATGAGAATGACATTATTATTGTTGTCATAGCTTCCTTCGAGGCTCCTCCCAAGTGTTCATTCAAGTAGCTCTTCCTAATTCCCAATACACAGACATGTGAATGCCTTGTGGATTCTTCCTTTAGAGTACGCAGTGCATTCTAGCTCCTTAGATTCATGCCTCCTCCCCTCCTCCCCCTTGCCTCTCAGAGGCAGGTCTGTTCCCCCCACAGTGCCAGGCATGGTGTTAGACACATGGAGAAAGTCCAGTGTGCACATGAGAATTGAACACGTATGTGGGAAAGAGTTCTTACCCACTAGGAGGTGTGCAAGCCCACTTGCCCAACAGGGCTATCTCTCTTGCCCGTTGCTCATACCCTGGTGCACACAACATGCTTCTAAGGCGCACATTCCTTTATTCCTGTGCATCATATCAGTCTGTTGAGTTCCTTTGGTGGAGACTAAAAACTGAGAATTTGACCCGATCTGAGGTCTGGGAGATGCTTAAGGGCTGAAGTCAATGGAGGGAAGCTGATTCATCATAGCATTTTAGTAGTTACGATTTAACAGAGACCCAGAGAGCAGAAATGGGGAGGGGGGCGGGGTTACCGAGAACGTTTTAAATGCGTTAAAAATCCCATGCAGATCTTCAGGTTGTTCTGATCTTAGATTGGATTTTGACTGAAAGGGACAATGATGCTGAAACATCTATTTATTTACACATCAACATTTATTGAGCGGTTGCTGTGCTCAGTGCTGGGCATCCAGGGATGTCCAGGTTGTGCCTCTGCTCCCAAAGAGCTTAGAGTCTGATGCGGACGCAAACACACGAGTGGTGATAGCGCATGGGAAGAAGTGTGGGCTTGGCTCTGTGGGAATCAGGGGAAAGAGGGTACCTGGTAGAAAGGAGGGGATGGTGTGGGAATTAGGGGAAAGATGGTACCTGGTGGAAAGGAGGGGATGGTGTGTTCCTGAAACAAACAGGGTCAGGTAGACACCTCCTCCCGACCCAGAGGCAGGGCAAATTTCCAGGTGCACAGGCCCATGGGTCAGGTTCATCTTCCTGCCACTCCTGCCCCCAGGGAGACACGTGAATATGTGCAAAATGCACGTAGGCTGAAATGCACAGGCCAGAGCTGTGCTTTCAAAGAAGTGGGCTATTGAGTAGAGAGGGAAGGGGGCCTGCCAGCCCACCTGGTACTGTGGCCTGGCTGTGGCAGGGTGGTGTGGGCTGGCCCCTGGACCCCTGGTGCTGGCAGCTACTCCGGGCTTCTGTTTCTGCTGCTACGACTGCCCTTCTGGCCTCTCTCGAATGGGCCTTTGTCAGCAGGTATGGGGGAGGTGAGCCTATGCAGGGGCCCCGGCCTGGCTTCTGTGCAGTACTGCCCACCAGCCAGACTGTCTGGAACCACAGCAAGATCCTCTTGGTGAAGGAAACTTGTCCTGTGCTGGCAGGTGGGAGGTACTGCTCCCTGACTGTCTGAGCTGCTCACGTCATTGACCTGTGCTTGAGGTGGCCGCCCAATACTGCTCTGGGAACCTGCTTCTGAGGGCTGTTATGAGAAGTCCGTGGGGTAATGGCTGGGATGGCAAAGACTGTCACAGTCGGCAGTGACAGTGAGGTGACCACAAAGTAACATGCCCCATCTGGTGGGCCAGCCTGAGGTCTTTCCAAGGAGACTTCTAGAAATCAGGTCTGGGTTTGTGATTTGTGAATTCTGTTTATTTCTCTAAGGAAGAGGCCGATTTTTCTTCATAGGCAGTTCTTTCCTTCCTCTTTTTTTTTTTTTCCTCTGACCAAGTTTTTCTTCCTCAGAAATAACTCCATGTTAATGATACAGGTGACTCCAAGTTAAAATAACAAGTCCCCTCCCGTATAATGAAGGAGTTTGGCCTCTCCACCTCCACACTGTACAGCCGGGCTGGGTGGGGTCTGGGCTCTAGAGAAACACCTTTGAATCTAAGGGACATGAGGACCCAGCCTCCAGCCCCCAGCGGGGGTGTCCCTCCTCCATGAATTGGGTGGGGGTTACATACAATCCCAGCCACTGGGCTACACAGGGAGGCCCTGCCAGGCCTGAAGGCCCCATGACAGGAGAGGGAAAGGGTCACCCAGGAGCTGTCAGCAGCGATGCCTGTGGGTTGAGGTGCCCTGCCCTGCTCCTGGGCTGTTGGCTGTGTTCCAGTATCCACAGCCACCATGAGCCGCAAGCCAGTGGAATGTCACCACCCTCCACTCTCTCCTTCCCGTTCCCAGGCTTGAGTCCTGTGTCCTCATCACCTCTCTCTGGAACTTTGGAAGGGGCCAGTCATTTAAAGCGAGGCTATTAAACAGAAATAATTGACATTTAATTGTTTATTTGATGGGCATTTAAAATGCAGAACAGGTTGCATTTTCCTCTGGAGGCCACAGATCCATCAGTGGCCTCTGGTCCAACCCAAAGCACTTGTTTTAAAAGGCAGCTTTAAAAGCCTTGGCTGGCTCTCGGCTCTGTGGTTCTGAACCAGAGAAGCCCAGCTGCTATCAGAGAAGCTTTAAATACCATGACCAGGAGCACCGTGCTCCACACTGCTGGCCAGGAAGGTGAGCAGATGCAGGAGTGAAGGGATGGGTTTGGGGGACTGTTTCTGTTTTTAACTGAATTTTTAAATTTTTGTTATTTTTCTATGAACAGATTTTATTTTTTTAGAACAGGTTTAGATTTACAGAAAATTTGAACAGATTATACAGAGAGCTCCAGTATTCTCCCCCTGCACACCGTTTCTGCTATTATTAAGAACTTATGTTAGTGTGGTACAATTAGCGAACCAATATCGATATATTATTATTAACTAAAATTGACACTTCATTCACATTTCCTTAGTTTTTCCCTAATGTCCCTCAGCTGCTCTAGGATCCCATCTGGAATACCATATCACATTTAGTCATCTCATCTCTTTAGGTTCGTTTTGGCTGTGACAGTTTCTCGGACTAGCCTTGTTCCGGAGCACTGTGCCAGTCTGAGGAGTACTGGTCAGGTACGTTGTACGATGCCCCTTTGTTGGGGTCTGATGTTTTCCTCACGATTAGGCTGGGGTGATGGCTTTTGGAGAGGAAGATCACGAGGGAAAGTGCCATTCATCAGCTCATATCAAGGCACTCGCACTCAGCACGATGTATCACTGTTGACATTGACAGGACTGGGTTGTCAGTCTCTCTCACGCCCCCATGCAGCACTGTTGCAGGGCCTGTGATTGGAGCTGTGCTCTCCTACTCCTGAGAAAAACTGTCAGCCAGCAATCTCCGGCCATCCTCACTATCCCAGGTCCTGCAAGTCAGGGGGCAGCAGAGAGATTTTTCAGATAGGAGATGCTTATTAAAGAGAGCATGACACGGAATGTGCTATTTGTCACATCTGTGCAAATGACAGGCAGCAGTGCTCTCAGCGTCTGGAGAAAGAGGTCCACAGTTCAGTCTCTAGGCTAAGTGGTAGTTGGACAAAGACAGCATTTCTCAACTTTTGCTGCATGTTAGAATCAATGAAGAGATTCTAAAAATTACTGATGCCTTAGTCACACCCTCAAAGTTTAGATTTAATGGAGCTTAGTTGATTCCCAGGCATCTCTTTTTTTAATGCTTTCCATGTGATCCTAAAGTACAGCCAGGGTTGAGAACTGGAATAAACAGGGAAGGCAAGGGCATTCTAAGGAGAAGGAACAGAATATACAAAGGTGTGGAGAAAGATACACACCTGGCAGAAGACAGAAAGTAGACTATCTTAGCTGAAAGTCATGGGAGAAAATATTTTAAGGATAGAAAAGGGATAGACTTAAAAGTTTTTACACTAAAAAAAGTTTAGATTTTAAAAAAATAAATGGGACACTGAAGCACCACTGAATGCATTTGAGTTTGGAAGGGAAGTGGTCAGAACACACTTTAGGGAGATTGGTCATGCAGTGATCAATGTCCAGGACAGAATGGAGACAGGAGGTTAAAGGTGGGTACAGCTACTGCAATATTAGGCAAGCTACTACCGCAACCCCGGGGAGCAATGGAAGAGAAGGGCCAGACTGGAGAGCTCTTGCAGGGATAAGCATGGCTAGGGCTTTGCCACACATACAGCGTGGAGACTGGGAGGGAGAGAGGAAACCCTGTGACCTTGGTTAGACTGTTGAGTTCCATCAGGCAGGGTCTGTGTCTGTCATACTCACTGCACTACCCTCAGTAATGAGCAAAGCGCCTGGAAAACAGGAGGCCATCAATAAATGATTGTTAACTTGGTTACTGGAAGGATAAAGGCTCCATTCTTTCCCAAATCACACCTTGTTCCCAAATTACTCTCCCTTTCTCCACCAATTTCTCCACCTAAGGCGGGCAAATCTCAGCTATATGGAAAGCAATCTGATTAAATAACTCTGGCTGAGATATGACTGTTAGGATTGGGAGGATTTCTCTTTTAAAAGAAGGATTTGGTGATATTATAAAGTCTCTCCTTGGAAGAATGTTGTGGGGCCGGTAATATTTATGAGCAGGAATGGTCTTTATTTCATTTCTACACGCAATCTGATTCTGAGCCATACCAGAAAAAAAGAACCCACAGCTTTGTAGTCTCTGGTAAAAGGCTGCCAGTGGCTGGGCTGGTAGTTCTGTTGGCTTCCTCTGTGAGCTGAGCTCCAGTGGACAGGATCACCTGCACTGGCCTGGGACATGGTCTATCTCCCAGCATAAACACGCTGACATTCTGGTGGGCAAAGAGTAGCAGGGTGCCCAGCAGTCGCTGTGGTGGACGGAGGCTGAGGAGATAGAAGACAATGCCTGTGTCGATGTTGAAGCTCAGCTGGGAGTTATGGGCACAACTGTGGACAGCTGAGATCCAGCAACAGTCAACAGCCGTGCCAGGCTTCCTTCCTCCCCCTGGGAGGTTCCAGGGTCCCAACCTTACCCCAGCATCAGTCATAGTGAGCAGAACAGAGTTGGGCAGGAAAATGCGAAAAGGAAAAATAAGGCATAATGCATGCCGAAGTTTTCAAAAGCTGTATTTCTCACTCTGGCTATTCTCCCTGGCCTGGGTAAAGACACACCCATCAAATGAGCCCAGTTGGCTGGTGACTCAGGGTCAGCATTTTTTTTTTCCGTCAACTATACCCACTTTTTCCCCCCCAGTTTATTTTATTGTGGTGAAATGCACATAACATCAAATTTTCTATTTTAACCATTTGTAAGTGTACAGTTCAGTGACTTTAAGTACATTCGCATTGTTGTGCAGCCATCACCACCCTCCATCTCCAGAGTTTTTCACGGGAGCGCCGCCGCGCTCCCAAGCGGCACACTGTAGCAGTGCGCCACCGGGCCGGCCCCAGAGTTTTTCATCTTGTAAAACTGAAACTCTATACCCATTAAGTAGCACCTTCCCATTTCCCCCTTCCCAGAGCCCCTGGCAACCCCCATTCTGTCTCTCTATGATTTTGACTACTTTGGGTACCTCATATGAGTGGAATCATATAGTATTTGTCTTTTTTGTGACTGGCTTATTTCACTTAGCATAATGTCCTCAAGGTTCATGCATGTGGTAGCATATGTCAGAATTTCCTTCATTTTTAAGGCTGAATAATATTCCACTGTATGTATATACCACATTTTGCTCATCTGTTCATCTGTTGATGGACACTTGGGTTGTTTCTGTGTTTTAGCTACTGTGAATAACACTGCTGTGAACATGGGTGTACAGATATCTTTTTGAGACCCTGTTTTCAATTCTTTGGGGTATATATACCCATAAGTAAAATTGCTGGATCATATGGTAATTCTATTTTTAATATTTTGAGGAACCACCATACTGTTTTCCAAAGTGGCTGTACCCTTTTACATTTCTATCAACAGCGCACAGGGTTCCAGTTGCACTACATCCTCACCAACTCTTGTTTTCTTTTTTTCTCATAGTAGCCATCCTGATGGGTGTGAGGTGGTATCTCATTGTAGTTTTGATTTGCATTTCACTGATTATTAGTGATGTTGAGCATCTTTTTATGTGCTATTGACCACTAATATATTTTCTTTGAAAAAATGTCTATGCAAGTCCTTTGCTTATTTTTGAATTGGATTGCTTGTTTTTTTGTTGTTGTTGAGTTTTAGGAGGTCTCTATATACTCTGAAAATTAATCTTTTATCAGATATATGATTTGCAAATATCTTTTCCCATTCTGCAGGTTGCCTTTTTACGCTATTGATGCTATCTTTTGATGCACAAAATGTTTTCATTTTCATGAAGTCCGATTTGTCTATTTCTTCTTTTGTTGCCTATGCCTTTGGTGTCCTATTGAAGAAACCATTGCCAAATCCAATGTCATGAAGCTTTTGCCATGATTTCTTCTAAGAGTTTTATACTTTTATGTCTCACATGTAAGTCATGGATCCATTTTGAGTTAATCTTTATATATGGTGTTAGGTAAGGGTCCAACTTTATTCTTTTGCATGTGGATATCTAGTTTTCCCAGCATCGTTTGTTGAAAAGACTGTCTTTTCCCCATTGAAGGGTCTTAGCACCCTTGTCAAAAGTCATTTGACCACATATGTAAGGGTTTATTTCTGGACTTCATTCTGTTCCATTCATCTATATGTCTGTCTTTATGCCAGTACCACACTTGTTTGATTACTGTAACTTTGTAGTAAGTTTTGAAATTAGCAAACATGATCCTCCAGCTTTGTTCTTTTTCAGGATTGTTTTGGCTATTTGGGGTCCCTTGAGATTCCATATGAATTTTAGGAAATACTGCAAAAAAATGTCATTGGGATTTTGATAGGAATGGCATTGACTATATAGATCATTTTGGATAGTATAACTTTGATATCTTAACAATATTAAGTCTTCCAATCTATGAACGTGAGGTGTCTTTCCATTTATTTGTGTCTTCTTTAATTCCTTTCAGAAGTGGTTTGAAGTTTTCATTCTACAAGTTTTTCACCTTCTTGGTTATTTCCTTAGTATTTTATTCTTTTCGTTGCTATTATAAATGGAATTATTTTTTTAATTTTCTTTCAGACTGTTTATTGTTAGTGTACAAAATTAGTTGCAAATGCAGCTAATTTTTGTGTGTTGACTTTGTATCCTGCTACTTTGCTGAATTCATTTATTATCTCTAACAGTTTTTCGTGGAATCTTTACAGTTTCACAAGCCCTATAAAATCATATCATCTGTGAACAGAGATCATTTTACTTCTTCCTTTCCAATTTGGATGCCTTTTATTTATTTTTCTTGCTTAAGTGCTCTGGCTAGGACTTCCAATACTGTGTTGAATAGAAATGGTGAAAGTGGTCATCCTTGCCTTGTTCCTGATCTTAAAGGGAAAGTTTTCAGTCTTTCAGCACAATGTTTGAGTGTGATGTTTGCTGTGGGTTTTTCATATATGGCTTTTCTTACATTGAGGTACTTTCCTCTATTTCTAATTTTTTTGAGTATTTTTATCATGAGAAGGTGCTGAATTTTGTTAAATGCTTTTCCTACATCAATTGAGATGTTCATGTAGTTTTTTCCTTCATTCTGTTGATGTGGTATATTACATTGATCGATTTTCATGTGTTGAATTACCCTTGCATTCCAGGAATAAATCAGGGCCACCATTTTTATTTCCCTTAGTCCCAGTGCATTACCACCCTTGCCAGGGAAGCAGCAAGAAAGAATGGAAAAAGCATAGCATTTGGAGTCAACAGAATTAGGTGTCAATTTCAGCTGTGCTACTGTTGACTGTGGGGCCTTAGGCAATAACACAACCCTGAGCCTCTCATTTTTTAATCTGTAAAATGGCAGTAATAGCCAACATCACATATAGTTGTGATGTTTCTTTGAGCTAGTGCTTGTGAAGTTGTCTGGTTTATAAGGTGTCTTTAACATGGTGTTTTTAAAATCATCACGATCATCATCATCATCCCCTTCAACCAACATGGGCAGGGAACAGGAGCAGTGTGGGGCGTAGAACATACAGAACACAGTTGCTCCTCTTCCTCTTTTGACAGCTGCAGGAACACTGGAGGGTCTATGGT